GGGGGAGGGGGACAAGTTAGGTGCGCTCGCGTCAACATCTGACATCCTACCCATCCCTCCCATCCCTTGCCATGGCGCTGATTTTCTCTTTCCGCGGACGCGTGTCGTAGCGGACCTGTGGCTCCGCGCTCGTGTGCGTAGTGGGTGGTGGTGCGCGTGCGTGCGTGCGTGTGTGCGTGGTTGTGGTTGTTGTGGTGGTGGTGTGTATGTGTGTGTGTGCGTGTGTGCGCGTGTGCTGTGGTGTGACGTGGTGTGGCGTCTTGGTGGTTTGGTGGTGGGCCAGGTGCGTACGTGTGTGATGGCGGTGGTGGTGGTGTGTGTGTGTGTGTGTGTGGTGTGTGTGTGTGTGTGTGGGTGTGTGTGGTGTGTGTGTGTGTGTGTGTGTGTGTGTGTGTGTGTGTGTGTGTGTGGTGTGTGTGTGTGTGTGTGTGCGTGTGCTTGTTGCGTGCGCGTGCGGGTGCGTGGCGTGCGCGTGCGCAGTGCGCGTGCGCGTGCGCGTGCGAGTGTGTGTGTGTGTGCGTGTCTGTGTGTGTGTGTGTGAGAGAGTGTGTGTGTGTGTGTGTGTGTGTGTGGTGCGTGCGTGCGTTGCGTGCGTGCGTGCGTGCGTGCGTGCGTGCGTGCGTGCGTGCGTGCGTGCGTGCGTGCGTGTGTGTCTGTGTGTGCGCGCGTGTGATGTGGTGTGACGCGGTGTAGCGTGGTGGTGGTGGGTGGGGTAGTGCGGTGGTGGTGGCGGTGCGCGGTGGTGGTGCGCGTGCGTGCGTGCGTGCGTTGGTGGGTGGAAGTGGTGGTGGGTGTGCGTGCGGCGGGGCGGGGCGTGGTGCGGAGCGGTGGTGGCGGGCGGATGGGCGCGCGAGAAAGAGGCCCGCGCTGGGGCGAGAACGCCATCCTGAACGACGGAGGCAAAACACCGATCCGAAAATGAGGCCCACGCTGCAGCGGGAGCACGACTCGGAACGATTCGGGAGCAGAAGTGAGGCCAGCGCCCTAGCGAGAGCAGCATTTTGAAAAAAACGCAGGCGAAAACCCAACTCCCAGGAATCCTGTGTAAAAAACAGTACGCGGGGGGGGGTCGGCCACTCCCAGCACGCCATCAGGGGAAGAGGGAGAGTAGTATTGGTATTGAGTATTTGTGGAGGAGGAGGAGGAGGAGGAGGACTGCGCAGGAGGCGCTCCGCCAGAAGGTGCCGGGCGCAGGCGGGCAGCCCGCGCCAGACCGGCGCGGGCGGGGCCCGGCAATGGCGGTCTGCGACGCCGGGCTGTGGCTGAGCGCGGAGGCACGAGGGCCGTAGAAGTGATGACGAGTCCAAGGCGCGGATTTGTCAATAGTCAGGAGGGGAAAACACACACAGACACAATTAATCGTCCATTCTCCAGAAAATATGTGAAAATATGGGAAGTGGTAGGGAAGACGAAAATCCAAAAAATATGGGGAACATGTTTATTTGTGCGTATTTATTTGTGTGTCCGGGGGCCCCTTTACACAGTGCGGTATCGTTGAACCGATCCCCATCCCCATCCCCATCCCCTTCGAGACCCCCACCAAATTACCACCCCAGTGGGGGATACACCCCTCGAAACCCGAAGGGAACGACCTACATCCCCATCTAGGGGGGTAAATCGGCCAGCGGGGCCCAGGCCATGCCGCTGGGGGTGGGGATCGGTTAAACGATGCTCAGATTTGTCCATAGCCACTGCCTTGGGGATCGATCTTCGGGGACCTCGATGTGGACATATTTGATGCGCTCAGGCCCCAGAAGGGCAAGATATATTTATCCATGTCCACCGCCAGCCGAGGTCCCCGAAGATTGATCACCAGGCGGTGGTTATGGACAAATCCCGGCCTCGCAACGTGGAAGATCCCCGCACCGACTCCTCTCGTCGTGACAAACGAGAAACACGACGGGAGGGTTTCACGTCATCTTCGGCCTCCGGGGGCCCTTACCCGTCACCGGGTCGTCAAGCATCGATTCAGGATGAGCAGTCGAGGTGGGCTAGAGTCTGGGCATTCGAGGGTTCACGTTTTGAAAGCATTACCGCGTCGGAAGTTTGGGAGGTGGGAAGAGTTGCAGGAGGGGGAGGCGGAGTTACAGGAGGAGGCTGATGACGGGTTGGATGACGATAGCCAGACCAGGTCCAGCACCAATTATTGCCTCCGCTTGCGTTTATTCAGCGTCTCGTCCCAAGGCCCTGGGTGAGGATGGCCTGGCTATGTCCAGCACCCACGACCGCCCCCCCTTGCATTGACTCAGCGTCTCGTCCCAAGTTCCTGTATGAGGATGACCGGGCTAAGTCCAGCACCCACGATTGCCCCCTCCTGCACTGACTCCTCGTCTCGTCCCAAGGCCCCATCCTGCACCGACTCGTCCTCTCAGGCCGCGGCCTTCCTAATTACCTCGACGCGCCCGCCTCCAACGTTGGCCCTCCTCCTCCCTCCTCCTCCTCCTCCTCCTCCTCCTCCTCCTCCTCCTCCTCCTCCTCCTCTTGCCCTTCGTCTCGCTCCCTGATGGGCTGTCCTCCTGCGCGGGACGTGGGGGGGGGGGGGGCATCGGATCGCCTTCGGGGAGGAGCGGAGAGTGCGGTGCGCGTGGGGCGGCATGGACGGGCCGGCAGGCGGAGCTGCCTGCGGGGGCGGGGAGGGGCGGGCTCGTCGAACTGCTCGGACGGGCCTGGGGGGCCCCGGGGCCGCGGCCTCGACCGCAGACGGGGGGGGGCGGGACATTTCGGGGAGACGGGCCTGGGGGGCCCCGGGACCGCGGCCTCGACCGCCGCAGACGGGGGGGGGAAGCATTTCGGAAAGATGGGAGGGAACATGTGTCGCGGATGTGCGCTGACTTGCCTGGCTGTCAAGCGGCCCCCCTGGCTGTGAGGTGCCCTTCTGGAGAAGTCCACGCCGGTTGTAAGGTGCCCCCTCTGGGTGGTAAAGTGGCCTGCCTCCGGTCGCAGTGTGCCCCGCACGCGGGCCAGGGAGGCCCCGCCTGCCTGCGGGGGGCGCAGCATCGACGCCGAGGGCGGTCGGGCAGCCGTCGGGGCGATTCCCCCTCCCCCTCCCCCTCCCCCTCCCCCTCCCCCTTCCCCTTCCCCTCCCCCTCCCCCCCACGGCGGCCTCGGGCCGTCCCGAGACGACCTCGGGGCCTTGCAGATGGCCCGCTCGGCGCCTCCAGCGGCCCAGACTGCGTCCACGACGCCCCGAAGGTGCTCCAGGAGGACCTCCAACTCGGCCCCCGGGAGCCCCACATCGCACGTTCCTGCATGTGTTCAAGCGTTTTAGGGTTCTCGCCTTTTAGGGCTTCCGACGGCCCAAGACGGCTCAAGAGGTGCCACAAGTCGCCCCAAGACGGCCCGAGAGGCCTCCAAGATAGCCCCAAGAAGGCCCCAAGACGGCCGAATGAAGCCCCAAGACGGCCCAGGAGAGCCCCAAGAGGTTGCCAAGAGAGCCCCAAAAGGTTCCAAAGCGAGTACCAGGATGGCCAAAGCTCCCCAAGACGATCTACAAGGGCTCAGGACGGCCCCAGAGGGCCTCAAGAGGACCTCCACGAGAGCCTGAGGAGGCCAACAACATTGATCTTCCATTGGATTCGAAGGCTTTCATGGTTCTCGACTTTTCGAGCCTCTGACGGCCCGAGACGGCCGAAGAGGTTTCAAACATCGTCCCAAGACGGCCTAAGATGCCCCCAAGAGAACCCCAAGAGGGCCCCATGACGGCCCCGAGACGGCGCAAGAGGGCCCTCAGAAGTTTCCACGCGGGCTCAAGAGTGCGCCAGGAGAAACGCAAGACCCGAGTACGCTGGGACTCGGGTTTGTTGACGCTTTTTGACGAGCGCGTCCTGGAATTTGACGGTCCAGTTGTCGTGGGATGTTTGCAGCGGGAGGTCGCGTCAAATTCCAGACTGGGTCTCGTCATTTTCTTGATGGCCCCGTCGAGCCAACCCGAGTCCACCGTACCCGAGTCTTACGTCTCTCTGATTTGCCTTTGTGAGTTTGCGTGATGGCAAGAACGATGAGGTGGTGGAGCAGAAGGGGACTGAATGGGAGGATGAGGACAACGGACAGCGTACAAATGGGAAGGAGGAAACCTGGAGGACCGCGACGAGATGGGCGACTGCTTTCCGGTGGTATCTTGCTGTTGCGAGGGGGCACCTCTCCCTGGTTCTGGCTCTCGAGAGGGCTGGCAGGTTTTTGGGTGACGCTCCTCCGTTTTTCCTGGCCCTGTCACCCGCCCATCTTCCTCCTCCTCTTCCTCCTCCTCCTCCTCCTCCTCCTCCTCCTCCTCCTCGTCCTCCTCTCGGGCTGGCTCGTCCAAACCGCCCTGGCGCCGGTCTTTGTATTCTGGCCGTCTGCGTTCAGTCAGTCGCAGCGAATTGCGGCAGGAACCACGGGTGCCCCTTGCCAGCCCACGCGTCCTTCCGGATGCTTGGCCTTCTCGTTCGTTCGGTCGCTCGTCACCCACCCCGCAGGAGCCCCGCCAGGAGCAGGCAGCGCTCGAGAGAGAGACGTAGGACTCCCCAAGCATCACCGTCTGGACTTCAGGCGGGCGCGCGGCACAGGCCCCCCCCCCAAAGATTTTAGCCGGGCCTGTCCCTCCACAAAAACATAGGATACGAAAATCGTCCGGGGACGATGTTGTTTAACTAGTTTTGACCATGTCCTTGAATTTGTTGCGCATTGTTTCATGTTTCATCCAGAATCCGCCTGTAGGGGGACATGCCCGACCTAACCCAAGATCTCTGCGACGGCCGCAAGGCTTGGAGAAGCAATGTGTGGGCCGTCCTGGCATCGCAGGCACGGATAAGCAACGTGTCACCAGATTCACGTGAAACCTGGTATCGCTCCCCTCCCCACGGCTTGGCAGGCAGAGTGCTACGTTGCGCGGTGAACGAGCGAACGACCGGTTCCCGGCCCAGCTCCTGGTTCTGTCGGATCCAGGCCCCACCAGCTCTTGTTTTGTGCAGTTCATGTTTTCGCGCAGTTCTGGCAGGCCCTCGTTTCTCACCAGTCTGGGTTGGTCGGCTTGCGTTCTGGTTCGGCAGCGCACCCTGGTGCTCCACAGCCTCTGTCGCCAACATGCACCCGAATACTCCATAGCCTCCGTCTCTAAGACAGCTTCCTCAGGAGTTGTCAAACAGAATTGCGGTGGGCTTGCGTTCTGGTTCGGCAGCGCACCCCGGTACTCCACAGCCTCTGTCGCCAACATGCACCCGAATACTCCACAGCCTCCGTCTCCAAGACAGCTTCCTCAGGAGTTGTCGGACAGCATTGGCAGAAGCACGAGTCCTCCCGCCCTACGCCCGCCGCCCGCTCCCCCCGCCTCTCCAACACCCCACCCAGAACTTCTCGGGTACACCCTGCGAAATGCTTAAGAAATCATGGGTTAAGAAATTCACAGTCTCAGAACTTGAACAAAAATCCAACATTTCTATTAAAATCTTAAGATTTACATTGAAACGTTAAGAATAATCGAGACTCTGGCCGAAAACGTAAGTTTTCTTAAGCATCGCCTAAGGTGTAGCCCTCCTACCTCTGGCTCTCCGCCACTCAGGGCGTATCTCCCTGTGGGGTTCCACCGAAAGGCCCCCCAGATGCAGATGCAGTTCAGGTGAACACGCACTTTTGAATAGAAGCCACTCTCCACCCAGCCGGCCTTCGATGATAGAGACAGTCCCCCTACGGTGGTCATCTTAGACCCCCTCGGATTGCCCCGTTTGGCACCACCCCTGGCTCTCCACCTCTAAAGGCGCACCTCCCCCCCTGGGATTTCTCCAGGGCCATGTTTGCAGGTGCAGTCCCAGTGAGAGCATCGTTTTGAAAACAGGCGACCCTCCACCCGTAGGGTTCAGGAAGATGGAGAGTGTCTCCTTGCGCTATTTGCGCCCTCTCTTCCCAGGACATCCCATCGAGTTTTTCCCAACCTTCCTGTGGTGTTGGGTCCTCGTTTTGAAGAGACAGCGCCACGCGTCACCTCACCTCTCGCACGATGCCCTCACTCCCATCCCTGCCTCAGCCCTTCGCATGTCGGCACGCACCCCTCACGCGTTTCGTGTCCCCATAGGGAGCTCCACCGAGGGCCCCAGACGCGACGTTTGCATGCGGTTCCCCGTCCATTTCGTCACAGTCCTCACAAGTTGGATGGCCACATATGGAGCTCGACCTAAGGCCCCAGTGGCGACGTCATGCGGTTCCCCCATTCATTCGGTAAACCTCTCACACGTTGCGTGGCCTTCTAGGGAGCTTTACCTAAAGCCCCAGTGGCGACGTCATGCGGTTCCCCCATTCATTC